ACTGCTGCGACTGCTGCCCGCCCGTGCCGGGCCGCCCCGGGGAGCGCGGAGAGCCCGGCCCGACAGGTAGGGCCGGGGCCGTGCGGCGCCCAGGGCAGAGCAGCAGCCTCCGCTCTGGAGAAGTCCCAGCTTAGCAGGAGCTGCGGCGCTCCCAGGCCTCCTGTGTGCTCTGGGAAGAGTTTCCATGTCAACTGGCTGGGGTTGTGGCCTCCCAAACTGCCGTGCCCTGCTCCGGGCTGCGCCCCGGGAGTCTCCACGTTCCCACTACACAAACGGAAGGCAGCTTGCTTGCCTTTCAAACCATTCCTTACGCAGCACGGAGCCTTCCGCCAGGCTCCGCGTGTGCATTTGCAGAAATTACAAAGCGACAGGAGCTCCTCAGGGGCATTCGGATGTTTGGGACAGATTAGTTCTGATGTGTGTGAATGTGGGAGCTCCTGGGGCTCTGAGGCAGCTGGAAGGTGGTTTTAAAAAACCCTTAAGAACAGCCAACAGCTAAATGCAAAATTACAAGACTTGGGGATTGCAGGAGCTGAAAGGTGGAAGTTGAGGCATTAGCTGCCTGCCGGGGGGTTTGTGGGCCCCCTTGGCCTCAGTTTGGCCGGGCAGCGGGTCCCCCCCAGTGCCCTTCGGCCTCCCGCTTGCTTTGCCTCCGTTGTGGGATACCCCATTGAATAGAACTAGGGAAACCGAAACACAGTCCGCCTTGCAGGCAGCTCGGTGCCACTTTGCTTCGGTATTGCTAAGAATTTTCTCTAAAAAGTTAATCCTTCGAGTTGCTAAGATGATTTTGGTTATGTGATCCCAGGTCCCAAAGGAGAGAAGGGAGACGCTGGTCTTCGAGGTCCGCCAGGAACGCCAGGACCTCAGGGTCCAAAAGGTGGTAAAGGAGAAAGAGGTAAAGCAGGCTGAGCGCTGACTTTGAAAACAGGCCTCGTAATGGCAAAGTTACGGGTTAAATTATTTCACAAAGGAAACCAAATCTGCTGATGTGAACTGACACCTTGCAGTATTTGGCCGGCACTAATAGAGTGGAAGTAACTGGGATGCTGGTAGAGGATGTTCAGGCAGCGCGTGGATGGCTGTTCACAAAGATCCCATCCAAAGCTCCTTGCTCTGAACAGGAATTTTTAAACTGACTTCAAAATTTGCTTTGGATCAGAAAAAGTAGAAAAAAATATTGTGGGAGCTACACACAGATGGAGGAGCCGGAATGGTTGCAGCTGAGCTGGAGAGCAAGCATCAACCGTTAGCAGTAATGGAGGGAATGCTGCTCTGGAGCTCAGAGCAGCCCCAGCCGCCTCTCATACTGCTGCCACGCTGTCCCTGGTCACGGAGAGGCACCAAACCGAGACCCAAGTAACAGTGCCACGTGCTGCATCCCTTCCAGGGGTGCTGGTGTGAGCCCTTGGGCTTTGGTGTCGCTGCTTGAAGGAGATTTTTGGCAATCTGCTGGGCACGTGTAGAGCTGTTGGCTTCTCCGTCCTGCCGTTGAGCAGCATCAATCTCCCTCCCAGCCAGTGCTTAGGGTCAGAAATGCCTCCCTGGGCTGACCTGCAGCTCGCTCTGGGGTGGTGCTTGTGCCAAGGGCTCTGAAGGACCTTCTTGGAGAATAACAGTGCTCAAGCGTGTAGAGACACACGAAAACGGTACTAGTCACAGCGCGTGCAGTGACTGCCGTGCTGCAGATCCTGTCCCTAACAGCACGCTAATGCTAATGTGTCCTAGGTGGCAAAGGGGACCCAGGCGAACGCGGAGCAAACGGCACCCCAGGTTATCCAGGCAAACCTGGAGGACAAGGTACGTGCCACAGGCAGCTGGAAAGGCGAGGGATGCTGCCCTTTGCCCAGGTGTTTTGGTGCTGGTGATGCCCTCCACCTCCAAAGCAATCCAGTGCTAGCAGCACCCTCCGTTCTGGGGGTTTTAATCCCCTCTTGTTTTTTGGTTTTTGTTTTTCCCTCCCTACCAGCTTGCCTTTTCTGTTTGCCCTTCTCCTAGGCGAAGCTGGAGCCAAAGGCAACAAGGGCAGCTACGGCCTCCCTGGGCTGAAGGGCCAGAAGGGCAGCAAAGGGGACGCTTGTGAGAACGGCACCAAAGGAGCCAAGGGAGATCAGGGGGATCCCGGGGCGCCGGGGCTGGATGGAGAACGCGGCAACAAGGGGGAGAAGGGAGACAGCGGGGAGAAGGGGTATTGCGGGGAGCCGGGAGGGAGAGGGGAGAAGGGCGAGAGGGGAGACGGGGGCGCGAAGGGAGAGAAAGGCAGCAAGGGAGAGACGGGGGTGGAGGGAATCCACGGGTCGGATGGCAAACAGGGAGAAAAAGGATAAAATCAAATACTCTTTTTGCTGCAAGTCTGACTCAAGCTGATCTCAAGGGTTCACGCTTCATTCACGTTTCATTCTGCGGCTAGAATAACAATATTAAATTCTCTCTTACATAAATTAACAGAATATTAAGGATCTCTGGTGGAATTTTAAATTATACAGTGCTAGAGCAGGCAAAATTTTTTAACAAGCATTTGTGAACTAGCTGCACGCGTAAGGAAGGAAGCAAGGAAGAAGGCAACTTGAATTTTCACCATCTGCTGTAGCATGCAGGTGACCTTCCAGCCAAAGCCACGTGCAGATTTCAGAGCTGGACTGATCAAAGGGAACTCCTCTCTCCTCCCTTGTCCTTCCTGACGGTGCTGCGCCTCGGCGCGGGCGACCAGGTGTGGCTGGAGGTGGCGCGGGACTGGAACGGCCTCTACGCCAGCGCCGAGGACGACAGCGTCTTCACGGGCTTCCTCCTGTACCCCGATGACGGCCCCGAGGCGCCGCTGTAGGTTGGGAGGGGAGCCCTGCTACGACGGGACGCGGATTTCCCTCCACCATCGAGTATTAGAGGTGAACTGCCAGTTAGGGACGGTTTTGTACCCGCTTAGTGGTGAGGTTTCCCGGTCTTTTAACAAAAATGCTCTGTTTGTGAGAAGTCGCTTAATATTAATTTAATTAGCAGCCCTGATTTTAACTAACAGTCCTTCTGAGTAGATGGATGATATCTAAGATACCAATCTACCGTGCAAATGAGCCTCAAGAGATTTCACATCACAGGCTTAAGGTTTGTAACCAACCTGTTCAAATCGCATAGGGAAATTCATTATCCTGACAAAATTTTAACCAAGGATCCTGCGATCCTTGCATGGTCAAAATTCCTATGGCAATCCATCCTGGTGGCCACTGGAAAGTCACGGTCAGGGCTCTAGGGCTTGATTTATAGAGCTTGTTGCAACACACACATGAGCAGCAGGTTCCTTCCAATCACATGAAAAGATTCGGAAGGTTTTATCGCTGAATCAGAATTACATCGTACTTTAGACTTGGTCACGCTTTACATGAAAGTTTGTCTAAGACAAGGATTAAAACTGACCAACTTAAAAAAATCCATTTATTGACCAAGTTGTTTTTGTCCTTGGGAAATTAAAATATATTTGAAACTTTCAGAAGTAACTGGAAGAGATCTATAACCTGCCCCACTGGGCACCACAGGCCCCCGTTTCTGAGCCGCTCATGGCACCGTTGCAGCTGCTGGAGTCGCCCTTGATGGTGGCAGAGGAAAAGCAGCTCGAGAGGAGCCTTCGGCACCCAGGCGAGTCCGGGGCTCTGTGCCTGCTGAGGCGTGTTCCCAAAAAGCTGTTTTACCGAAATGGAGCTGAATCTTGTGAAATACAAGTAGGGCCTCCAACCAAGGCTGGCGGGCTGCGCCTGAGCCGCTCTGCTGCTTATTTGGTGAATGGGCAGCCCTAACACGGCCCCTGTGAACCAGGCTCGTATTCAACTGCTCTCAGGTTTTGTGCTTAAACTGCCCTTGTGCCTCCCATGTCTTATACCAAGCCAAATACCACCAAAAATCATGTCCTTAATACCCAGGAGTGTTTAGTATTTTCGTATGTGATTATATATACACAGAGAGACAGAGAGAGGAAGAGAAAATTAACACAAGAGAACTTCTGTAAAATTTGAAGATAAAAAAAAGACAATTTTGAAAAACTGACCCTTTCTATCAGTAAATGTAAAGGGTCTTTCAACTCATCAGCTTCATCGCCCCGTTTCAATCTCAGCAATAAAAAATATAAAATGTCCTGGCTTTGTCCAGTGGTTGGTAGTTAATTCAGTGCCAATCTGAGTTAACTGCTTTGCGGCCCAAATTCAGATATACCAAGCAGATAAAAGATGTAGATTTCAGTTTATGACTTCTCTGGCAGCTGTTAAATATTGAGGAAAAACAACAAATTATAATAATAATTTTAGA